GCTTCCTGCCCACCGCATACCCTGGTGCCTCGCTCCTCACACAGGAAGACAGCAGGCCTGGCTGGGCGTCCCTGTGCCTGTTCCTGGAGGCCAGGCCTTTGCCTTCCCACTATGCAGCCAGGCATGCCCCTGCCCCCCGTGGCTCTGTGCTGCTCACTTTAGGGGGCTCAGTTCTCCACTCCGCTCAGTCCCTACAGGGAAAGCTCAGGCAGGGTCTTTCTGAGGGTCCACCAGCCATCCTGCCCTCTCCCTGCCTGGCACATGCCTGCCAGCGTTGTGCCATGCCTGTCCACAGGGGATTCGTGGGGCCCGCTTCCTCAGAGTTTGAAGCCCAAATGAAACGTTGAAGTGACTGAGGACCTGGCTTCAGTGTGTTTTCTGCTGGGGCTTATAGCAGTGGGCAGGGCTTGTTCCATTCCTGTGTGCCCAGCTGCATTTCCTGCTGGGGTCCTCGTTCCTCAGGAGGAGAGAGATCCCTACATGAGAATGAGCTGGGAACAGCAAGGATGCTGATTGGTTGGGGCGGGGAGGCCAGAGTAGCTGATGCAGGGGCCCCAGGAGTACAGGGTGGCCAGACGGCACGAGGTCTCCAAGGCCCCAGCAGAGCCATGGCTTCTACTCCCAGCTCCCCTGACAGGAAGTTCCTGGTGGGTTTGGAGCCAGGGGATGGCATGGAGTGATGTGGCTTTGAAGGGTCCTCTGGCTGCTGAGCCGGGATGAGGCAGGGAAGGGTGGAACAGGAAGACTGGTGAGGAAGCCGGGGCAGTCACCAAGTGACCACTGAGAGGAATACCCACCCCACGGCAGGGGCAGATGTGGGTACATTAAGGGGAGAGCCAGAGAACTCATGGGGTGAGGATGGAGTCGGAGGAGACTGCTGGGAGCTGCCGTGTGTGTCGCAGATGGAGAAGGCTGTGAGTGCAGCAAGTTGAGGGGTGACTGGGACCCAGCTTTTGAGCCTCCCCAGCCAGAGTGGCCCAGCAACAGTGTCCTGTGGCCGTAAAACTCCAGGGACCTCTATCCTCCAGGAGTCTCAGCTTTTCCCTGGGCGCAGGCCCACCTTGGCATGGCCTCCTCAGGCCTGTGTGGAGGAAGCTGACATGTCCCCACCAGATTGGCCCTTTGGAGCTGCTGGCTTCTGTAGAGGCTGCCCAGAGGGGCCAGGTGGCACAAATGAGAGAGGGGAGATGGGGGGCAGCCAGGAGAGAAGGTGACCCTTCCTCGCCCAGACACAGCGCTTCTCTCTGGCCTTTCCCAAGGCCCGTGAGTGTCTCAGGAACCAGCTGGTTCTCTGTAAGGCTGTGTTCAGCTCAGGAACATACCACCTGTATCTGCTGTCCCTCCTGCCCCCTGCCCCCTCCCCGCCTTGCCTTTTTCCCTGTCTTCCTTAAAGTTTCACTCCTGAATAAAACTTCACTTTGCCTTAGAATCTTTTTTTTTTTTTTTTTCTTTGTGTTGAGACAGAGTCTAGCTCTGTCGCCCAGGCTGGAGTGCGGTGGAGCAATCTCGGCTCAATGCAACCTCCATCTCCTGGGTTCAAGCAATTTCTCCTGCCTCAGCCTTCCGAGCAGCTGGGATTACAAGCGCCCGCCACCATGCCCTACTAATTTTTGTGTTTTTAGAGACAGGGTTTCACTGTGTTGGCCAGGCTGGTTTTGAACTCCTGACCTCATGATCCGCCCGCCTCAGCCTCCCAAGATGCTGGGATTACAAGCGTGAGCCACCGCACCAGGCCAGAGTCTGTTTTTTTGGGGCATCCAGGCCAGTGGAACTCTAGTGCAAGAAAAACACCAGCTCTGGATTGAGCCTGGTGTTCCAGAGCTGTTGACACGCAGACCAAAGGAGCCAGCCCAGAGGGAGGAGGGACCCCAGCAGGATGGTGCCCTGGGCTCCTAAGGCTCACAGGTCACAGAGGAGGGACCTATGAGGTAAGAGGAATACCAGGAGGGAGGAGGACCTCCAAGTGGGGCACAGTGGCTCATGCCTGTAATCCCAGCACTTTGGGAAACTGAGGCGGGCAAATCGCTTGTGGTCAGGAGTTCGAGACCAGCCTGGTCAACATGACGAAACCTCGTCTCTACTAAAAATACAAAAAAAAAAAAAATTAGCTGGGCGTGGTGGTGCACCTGTAATCCCAGCTACTCCAGTGGCTGAGGCAGGAGAATCGCTTGAGCCCATGAGGCAAAGGTTGCAGTGAGCCAAGATTGCACCACTGCACTCCAGCCTGGGTGACAGAGTGCGACTCTTAAAAAACCAGAATTGAGCTGACAGCAGCATCAGACTTGCCCTTGGGATTGGCATGGAGGTCAGCGTAGGGTCCAGCCCCACAGGGTCGGTGGGTTTTCCTCCCCATGTGCCGAGATGAGCGATTATAGAAATAAAGACACAAGACAGAGATAAAAGACAGCTGGGCCCGGGGGACCACTACCACTAAGACGCGGAGACTGGCAGTGGCCCCGAATGCCAGGCTGCGCTGATATTTATTGGATACAAGACAAAGGGGCAGCCGGGCGCGGTGGCTCAAGCCTGTAATCCCAGCACTTTGGGAGGCCGAGACGGGCGGATCACGAGGTCAGGAGATCGAGACCATCCTGGCGAACACAGTGAAACCCCGTCTCTACTAAAAAATACGAAAAAATAGCCGGGCGAGGTGGCGGGCACCTGTAGTCCCAGCTACTCAGGAGGCTGAGGCAGGAGAATGGCGCAAACCCGGGAGGCGGAGCTTGCAGTGAGCTGAGATCCGGCCACTGCACTCCAGCCTGGGCGACAGAGCGAGACTCCGTCTCAAAAAAAAAAAAGGACAAAGGGGCAGGGCAAGGAGTGTGAGCCCTCTCCACTGATAGGTAAGGTCACGTGTGTCATGTGTCCACTGGACAGGGGGCCCTTCCCTGCCTGGCAGCCGAGGCAAGCGGAGGGAGAGAGACAGCTTATGCCATGATTTCCACATATCCGAGACTTTTGGTACTTTCACTAATTTACTACTGTTATCTAAAAGGCAGAGCCAGGTGTACAGGATGGAACATAAAAGCGGACCAGGAGCGTGACCACTGAAGCACAGCATCACATGGAGACGGTTAGGCCTCCAGATAACTGCGGGCAGGCCTGACATCAGTCAGGTCCTTCACAACAGGTGGAGGATTAGAGGCTTCTCTAAACTCCCCCAGGGAAGGGGAGACTCCCTTTCCCAGTCTGCTAAGTAGTGGGTGCTTTTCCTTGATACTGACGCTACCGCTAGACCATGGTCGGTTAGGTCCATTTGGTAACGGGTGTCTTCCCAGACGCTGGCGTTACCGCTAGACCAAGGAGCCCTCTGGTGGCCCTGCCTGGGCATAACAGAAGGCTCACACTCTCGTCTTCTGGTCACTTCCCACCATGTCCCTTCAGCTCCTATCTCTATGGCCTGGCTTTTCCTAGGGTATGATTGTAGAGCGAGGATTATTATAATATTAGAATAAAGAGTAATTGCTGCAAACTAATGATTAATGATATATATAATCATATCTATGATCTAGATCTAGTAAATGTCTTATGTTATGTATTTGATTATACTGAAACAGCTCACGCCCTCGGTCTCTTGCCTGGGCACCTGGGTGGCTTGCCGCCCACAGGTCAGTGGCAACCTTGAGTTTAGGTGCCGGTGGGAGCCGATTCTGCCAGGTCTCAGAGGGAGGGAGAGGAGGGTGTTGCAGGCAGAGGATGGAAAACTCGAGTTTGCTGCTAAAGGAAGCAGTAACGTGAGGCAGCTGGAGGGGAGGCGGGGTCAACACTGTTTGGCTTTTTAGGAGAAAGTGCAGCATGTCTGGGTGCTGATGTCAGCGATGAAGTAAAGGAGGGGAATGGATGACACAGAGGGGCAGTCTGGGGGACGGGTGAAAGGGGTTGGGGTCGAACGCACAGTGTGATGGACTTGGAACACAGTGAGTAGCGCCTCTGGCAACACCTGCTCTGCCCACGTGTGCCCAGCAAGACTGAAGAAAGAGCTCCAGACCAGAATCAATGAGTTCCGGGGGGCTGGGCCAGGCAGCACCATCTGTGCCCCAGGTTGGTGTAGCAGGGACCTGGGTTGCTTATTATCTGAGGAACGGTGGCAACAGTCTCTGCCACTATACAGGTAAAGCACTTGGCGCTGTAAATGCTCAGTCAGTGCAGATGCCTCAGTGCTCTAGACAGAAACCTAGGAGTCATCTGAACTTCCAGCCTGGTAGGAACGTGAGGAGAGGGACCTTGTTGCACCCAGGGCTGGGGTCTGTGGAGGGGACCCAGCGGGAAGCAGGGCAGCCAGGCACCACCCCCACCCGACTGCTGGTCTCGGATGCCTCTCCCCCCTGGAGTCCAGACTAGGGGCTTCAAGTGCGCTGGGGAGACCCAGGAGTAGGGAGGGCATTGGAAGTGCCAGCCCCTGGCCGTGGGCAAGGAGCAGAGACACGGAAACCAACACTCCCAATGGCACTCGCCACGGTGCCTCTGCCCCCTCCCTCAACAGGTGCTCCTGGGGCCAACGCCTATCTTCCCACCAGACCCTCCCCGCCAGAGGCTAAAACCTGCTGAACGAGCAGCTAGAGCACAGTGGGGGCCCATGGGAAAGACCCCAGTTATCCATCTGGTCTTCCTAAGACCAGGGCCAGGGAGCCAGTCCCCTCTCCCGTGGGTTGCGGGAAGATGCTGCAGCCCGTGGGTCTCCTACCCCTTTACTCTCTCACCCAAGGGCCCTTCGCAGAGGAGCGGACTCCTCCTGTGTGTCCTCCTGGCTACAGCAAAGTCTGCGCCCAGCGCCCGCGCCCCACCCAGCCCCATGGGGACCTGGCTGGCGGGTTCCTGAGGATGGCCTCGATCTCGGGACCGGGGCAGGCAGGTGAGGGTGGGGGATGGGAAGCGGGCGCGGCGGAGGGAGAGGAGGGACCCGGCCCCGCGCGCGTGGACCCAGTGGGGGGCGCGGGCTCGGCCCCGCCCCATCCCGCGCGTCCCCGCCGCGGCCGGCGCGCGCTCCCGGGAGGCGGCGGCGGCTGCAGCGTCGGTAGCATCAGCATCAGCATCAGCATCAGCATCAGCGGCAGCGGCAGCGGCCTCGGGCGGGGCCGGCCGGACGGACAGGCGGACAGAAGGCGCCGGGGGACGGCGTCCCGCCCGGGCCGGCCATGGAGGGCGCCTCCTTCGGCGCGGGCCGCGCGGGGGCTGCCCTGGACCCCGTGAGCTTTGCACGGCGGCCCCAGACCCTGCTCCGGGTGGCGTCCTGGGTGAGTGGTCCCTGCCCGGGCTCCCGCTCCCGCCCCTGCCTCACGACCTTCAGGCCCCTACCCACCCCCTGCCACCTTCCCCCTGCCCCCTGCTTCTCGCCCCGCAACCCACTCACTCTCATCCTCGCCGGCCCCTCCCCCGCCGGCCTCAGGTTGGGGTGACGTCACCGGGCAGGGCGCGCCCACCTGCGGGCGGGGGAGGGGCCGGCGGCGCCGGAGAGACCTTGAGAGGTCACCGCCGGTCGCCCCTACCCCTACCTCCTCCCCGGGTCTAATTCCAGTCCCTTTCCGCAGCCCTTACTCCGTTTTTCCTGTTCTCGTGACCTGGAAGCAGGCACCGGGTGGGGACGGGATTCGCCTAGGGGCAGAGGGAGGGGGCTACGGGAATCGAGAGAGACCGGGCAGCGCCTCCCCTTCCCCTGCACACACACCCTCGGGGCTCCTTGGCAGGGAGCCTGGCCCCTGGCCCCCAGATCCAGCTGTGAGTTGAGGGAGGAGAGGCTCTGGGCTGAGAGGGCTTCCTGGAGGTGGTGTGGGAGGCAGGTTTGGGGGCAGCCTTGCCCACTGGGGCGTCCCTGGGAGGGCCCTGCTGCTCCTTCCCTCCGGCAAGGGAAGTGGCAGTTGGGTGCCTAGCTCTGGGTTTTGTCCAGGTGGCAACCTCTGGGCCAGCCGCACCTTGGCGCCTGTCTTGGAGGAGGGCGGTGCCCATGGTGGGGCAGGGGACTTTGGCCTCCCCTGCGGAGTGGCTCTGACCAGACCGGGAGGCAGGACGCTGCGTTTTGGTCCGAGCGCATGTACCGACTTGTGGCCCACTCTTGGGGGACAAGTGCATGTCCCGGCTTCCCCCTCGGCTTGGTCTCTCGGAGCTGGAGCGGGAAAGGAGCGAAGGGATGAGGTTGAGGCTGGAGATCTTTTCTTGGAAACACAGGGCTGCCCCATGCAGCCCTGGTTAAAATGACCGCTGTCCCCCTCATGCCTGTCTCCCGGAACTGGTGGGCAGGAGGCATTGAGATCTGACGGAACCCTAGAGGTCAACGGTGTCATCTTTTCAGCCCAAACACTTACAGGTGATATTAATAATCAGTCACGTGGGGGCCGTCATCCCTCCGGTACTCACCGCGTGCAGGAAGCTGGGTGGACGTCTCTGTCCCAGCACTCCATGAGCTGTGCCCGTCACCCTATTTGCATGCTAGAAACAGGCCAGACAGTTCCCAATCGCGCAGGGCGCAACAGCCCCGCTGCCCCCATACCTTCCCTCCCGCCCTGCTCTGCCCGCTCCACTCTCACCTCCCCTTCGCCCTGCCGGCTGCAGCCTGGGAATCGCGGGCCCAGGTGAAGGTTCCTGTTCCCACACTCTTGAGTGGGCCCTGAGGGGACGCCACGGGCCCACGCGGTGCAGAGTGCCTGGCTTGCATCAGCCCCAGCTTTTGTCAGCCATGTGATCCCGACAAGTCACTTCACCTGCTGGAGCCCCAGTGTCCCCTTTTATAAAGAGGATAAGAACAATGGCGATCCCACGGGGACTTTCCCAGGATTTGGTGAGGGAACGCATGTAAAGTGGCTGTTTAACACAATGCCTGGGCATAGTAGATGCTCACTAAACGGCCCGTGTTGTCAATAATTACTAAATACGCGAGGGTTTGGGAAAGGAAGAGATGACACTGGCCCCCACCCAGATACGGGCCTGGGAACGCAGGGACAGGCCCGGGGGCGTGGGCGCTCGCAGTGGGCTCGCAGAGGTCGGGTCGCTGCAGGGCCCTGAGCGCCGCGCCGCACGCAGGTGTTCTCCATCGCCGTCTTCGGGCCCATCGTCAACGAGGGCTACGTGAACACCGACAGCGGCCCCGAGCTGCGCTGCGTGTTCAACGGGAATGCGGGCGCCTGCCGCTTCGGCGTCGCGCTGGGCCTCGGAGCCTTCCTCGCCTGCGCCGCCTTCCTGTTGCTCGATGTGCGCTTCCAGCAGATCAGCAGCGTCCGCGACCGCCGGCGCGCTGTGTTGCTGGACCTGGGCTTCTCAGGTGGGCGGGGCCGGGACGAGGAGCCGAGGGATGGGCGGGGCCTGAGGCGGCGAGCGTCGACGCACCTCCCGGGTGGGCGGGGAGGGGGCGGGAAGGGGGCGGGGCCCGGGCGGGGAACACCGCTGGAGTTCCTAGGTGGGCGGGGCCGTGACGAGGGGCGGGGACTGAGGCAGGGAGTGTCAACAGGCCTCTCGGGTGGGCGGGGCGGGGCGGAGCCTGGACGGGCAGCGCCGCGGGACTTTCTAGGTGGGCGGGGCCGGGGTCTGGGCGGAGCCTGGGCGAGGAACGCTGCTGGAGCTCCCGGGTGGGCGTGGTCAGCGTAGAGGGAGGCGGGGCCTCGCGCCACGCGGCGAGCCCAGGTGAGGTGCCCCAAGCATCGGGCCCACTGACCCTTCCTCTTCCGGGCGAGGCCGCCGTGGGCCCCCGCGTGGAACGTCGCCCTAACCCGCCGCACTGCCCGCAGGACTCTGGTCCTTCCTGTGGTTCGTGGGCTTCTGCTTCCTCACCAATCAGTGGCAGCGCACGGCGCCAGGGCCGGCCACGACGCAGGCGGGGGACGCGGCGCGGGCCGCCATCGCCTTCAGCTTCTTCTCCATCCTCAGCTGGGTGAGTGCGGGGCCCGGGAGGGCGGGGCGAAAGGGCTGGCGCTCGGCTGATCCCGGCTGACCCCGCTGGCCCCGCCCGCGCGCAGGTGGCGCTCACCGTGAAGGCCCTGCAGCGGTTCCGCCTGGGCACCGACATGTCACTCTTCGCCACCGAACAACTGAGCGCTGGGGCGAGCCAGGCCTACCCCGGCTATCCGGTGGGCAGCGGCGTAGAGGGCACCGAGACCTACCAGAGCCCGCCCTTCACCGAGACCCTGGACACCAGCCCCAAAGGGTACCAAGTGCCCGCCTACTAGCGGCTGGCAGGCCCAGACCAGGGCTCCAAGGCCACCCCACCAACGCAGGCCCCAGGATCTCCGGGACCTCCCTTGGGTTCTTCCAGCTCAGCGCCAGGGACAGAGTGGGTGGCCGCCTTGGGCCATCCGGGGCCAAGAGGGGGTGGACCCTCGCGTGCCCGGGCTGCCCCCTGCCAAGTTTCCCCAGTCCCTCAGCACCTGGCCCCAGGACTAAGGTCCTGAGAAAGGGATAGCACTGCCCAGGATGTGTGTCCCTAGCCCAGAATGGACTGGCTTGGGGAAGGCATTCCCTCTTGGGCCAGCCACCCTGCAGCTCACCTGCTCACTCTGGGGTCGGGGGTTCAGCTGCCGTCTCCGATCAGCTGCAGGAGCTGCCCAGGACAAAGAGGGGGCAGGGGAAAGACACCACCCCCGCCCCGAGACTGGGGATCCTGGCCACTGTTCTCATCCCATATTCCTGTGGGTAGTGACTGTCCCGTTTCTGTCATGGTGGTGCGTTCCATCTGGAGCCACTCTCCACTTTCTCTCACAGGCTCCTAGAACAGCCTGGCCCTGTCAGTGTTGTGATCGTGGTCCAGTCTTCAGGTTTCACCTCCTAGTACCCCACAAGCTGCTCCTCTGTCTGTGGCCCCGGCCCCTGCCCAGGTGTGGGTGGTTCTGGCCAGGAAGGCACAAGGTAGCTGTGGGCCAAGACACCAGTCCTGTCCCAGCCCTTCAGTAAGACCTTGCCAGGGGAGGAGAAGGATGCTTGGGTGCCAGGCAAGACAAGCCCCTCAGCAGGAGACAGGCCCAGAGGCTCCAGCTGGCCACCGTGTCCCACGAGATGGCCCCTGTGCAGTTCCCTTTACCTTGGCTTCCTGGACCAGTCCCTGCCTCTCCACCTGCACCCTGCTTCCTGGCCCAGTCCCAGGTTGGAGTCCCTCTGCGTAGCTGACTACTCATGCATTGCTCAAAGCTGGCTTTTCACATTAAGTCAACACCAAAGGTGGTTGCCACATTTCGTCAGATAGACAGACACCTCCCTCTGGAGTTGCAGTTGAGTGACAACCTTGTTACATTGTAGCCTAGACCAATTCTGTGTGGATATTTAAGTGAACATGTTTACAATTTTTGTATATATCACACTCTCCCTCTCTTGAAAGACCAGAGATTGTGTATTTTCAGTGTCCCACCTTCCGACTGCAACTTCGTTACAATAAAGACTGTAACTGAGCTGACTGTGACCTGGAAGCTCCTGGAATCATTTCTAACCCTTCCCTTCCTGGTGCCAGGGATTGGGATCTGAGAGGCACCAGGGCCCCACAGGAGGGGACAGGGAGGTAGAGGCCAGGCTGACCCCCCGACTCTGGAGGCTCCAGGTCCATAGATCCCCACCACCACATATCACACTAGTCTGGTTCTCTGAAATGCTGGGGAGACCCCTTGTTTGTTTTTTGTTGTTTTTGTTTTTGAGATGGAGTCTCGCTCTGTCACCCAAGCTGGACAGTGCAGTGGCGCCATCTCAGCTCACTGCAACCTCTGCCTCCCGGGTTCAAGCAGTTCTCCTGCCTCAGCCTCCAGAGTAGCTGGGACTACAGGCACCCACCACCATGCCTGGCTAATTTTTGTATTTTTAGTAGAGGCAGGGTTTTACCATGGTGGTCAGGCTGGTCTCAAACTCCTGACCTCAAGTGATCCACCCGCCTTGGTGTCTTTCAAAGTGCTGGGATTATAGGCATGAGCCACCGCACCTGGCCTGTTGTGTTTTTGTTTGTTTGTTTGTTTTAGATGGAGTTTCGCTCTTATTGCCCAGGCTGGGGTGCAATGGCGTGATCTTGGCTCACCACAACCTCTGCCTCCCGGGTTCAAATGATTCTCTTGCCTCAGCCTCCGGAGTAGCTGGGATTACAGGCATGCACCACCATGCCCGGGTAATTTTGTATTTTTAGTAGAGATGGGTTTTCTCCATCATGGTCAGGCTGGTCTCAAACTCCTGACCTCAGGTGATCCACCCACCTCAGCCTCCCAAAGTGCTGGGATTACAGGCATGAGCCACCACACCTGGCCCAGAGTGAACCTGTTTGTTTTTTGAGAAAATAAAGGCCGGGCACGGTGGCTCACGCCTGTAATCCCAGCACTTTGGGAGGCCGAGACGGGCGGATCACGAGGTCAGGAGATCGAGACCATCCTGGCTAACATGGTGAAACCCCGTCTCTACTAAAAAATACAAAAAAACTAGCCGGGCGAGGTGGCGGGCGCCTATAGTCCCAGCTACTCGAGAGGCTGAGGCAGGAGAATGGCATGAACCCGGGAGGCGGAGCTTGCAGTGAGCCGAGATCCGGCCACTGCACTCCAGCCTGGGTGACAGAGCGAGACTCCGTCTCAAAAAAATAAAAAAAGAAAAGAAAATAAAAAAAAAAGATGCCTAGGCTAGAGTGCAGTGGCGAAATCTTGGCTCACTTCAACCTCTGGCTGACTGCATCACCACTTCCCAGGCTCATGTGATCTTCCCCGCTCAGCCTCCTGAGAAGCTGGGACCACAGGCATGCGCCACCATGCCCAGCTAATTTTAAAGTTTTTTGTAGAGATGGAGTCTCCTTATATTGCTTAGGCTGGTCTTGAACTCCTGAGCTCAAGTGATCCTCTCACCTTGGTCTCCTAAAATGCTGGGATTTCAGGCATAAGCCACTGCATCCCACCCTGATGACTTCACTCTTACGTCCTGGCATTCTAAGACGCTGATGAGAGTGATGCTAACGGTACCATTTGCATTGTTGATAAGTTATCTCGTTGGCAGTCATTTGTAGGGTTCGTTACTGTAAATCCTTGTCTAGGTAAGAATTTGTTATCGTTGATTCTGCTTGGTCCTTGATGGTTTGTTTTCTCTCTTGATGTTTGGGGGGAGCAGCCACAATTTCTCACGTGTCCTCTTCTCGTCACCTTCTACTCCTGGGTCTCCTGTAAGATTTGCTCTGGAGCCTCCAGCACTGGGTCCCGTTCCATGGCCTTCAAGTGGTCACACCCTTCCCTGCTTCTCAGCGGTACCTTTTGCAGTTACATCCCCCAGCTTGGTGGTGTTTACTTTTGAACCCATCTATTGGGGTTTTTTTTTTTTTTTTTTTTTGAGACGGAGTCTCGCGCTGTGTCACCCAGGCTGGAGTGCAGTGGCGCGATCTCGGCTCACTGCAAGCTCCGCCTCCCAGGTTCACGCCATTCTCCTGCCTCAGCCTCCGAGTAGCTGGGACTACAGGCGCCGCCACCACACCCGGCTAATTTTTTTTTGTATTTTTTAGTAGAGACGGGGTTTCACCATGTTAGCCAGGATGGTCTCGATCTCCTGACCTTGTGATCCACCCGCCTCGGCCTCCCAAAGTGCTGGGATTACAGGCTTGAGCCACCGCGCCCGGCCCTATTGGGGTTTTTATCTCAATTCCTTTTCATTCCTAGGATTTTTGAGACGGAATCTCACTGTCACCCAGACTGGAGTACCGTGGTGAGATCTCAGCTCACTGCAACCTCCACCTCCCAGGCTCAAGTGATTCTTATGTCTCAGCCTCCCAAGTAGCTGGGACTATAGGCATGCATGACCACACCCGGCTAGTTTTTTGTGTTTTTAGTAGAGATGGGGTTTCACCATGTTGGCCAGGCTGGTCTCGAACTCTTGACCTCAGGTTATCCACCTGCCTCAGCCTCCCACAGTGCTAGGATTACGGGCATGAGCGACTACACCCAACCTCATTCCTAGGATTTCTAATTGGTTATTTTCCATAACCTCCTGGTTGAGTGAAGCACAGCTAAGAACCATCTCTGGAACCAAGATGCTGGCTTTGCCACTTTCTAGCTCACTCATCCTGGGTAAGTCTCTCAACCTGTCTATGCCTCAGGTTCTCCTGTAAAAGGGTCACTGTGGTTCCTATGGTGTGGGAGGGTGACGATTACTGTGGTAAGGCGTGTGGAGCTTGCAGCAGTGCTTGTCACAGCAACTGCCACTTAAATGTTGCCTCATATTCCTCTAGTTCTTGCTCCTTCTTTAAGAAGTCATTTTTTAGCCAGGGGCAGTGGCTCATGCCTGTAATCCCAACACTCTGGGAGGCTGAGGCAGGCAGATCACCTGAGGTCAGGAGGTCAAGACCAGTCTGACCAACATGGAGAAACCCCGTCTCTACTAAAAGTACAAAAAATTCTACTAAAAGTACAAAAAATTAGCCAGGCATGGTGGTGCATGCCTGTAATCCCAGCTACTCGGGAGGCTAAAACAGGAGAATCCCTTGAACCTAGGAGGCGGAGGTTGTGGTGAGCCAAGATCGCGCCATTCCACTCCAGCCTGGGCAACAAGGGTGAAATTCCATCTCAAAAAAAAAAAAAAAAAAAAAAAAAAAGTCATTTTTTGCCAAACACAGTGGCTCATTCCTGTAACCTAGCACTTTGGGAGGCCGAGGCAGGAGGATTGCTTGAGCCCAGGAGGTCAAGGCCAGCCTTGGCCACATAGCAAGACCCCTTCTCTACAAAAAATATTAGCTGGGCATGGTGGTGCACACCTGTAGTTCCAGCTCCTCAGGAGGCTGAGGTGGGAGGATCACCTGAGTCTCAGGAGGTCAAGACTGCAGTGAGCTGAGATCACACCACTGCACTCCAGCCTGAGAGCCAGACCCAGAAAGAGAAATTCTTTCCAATAACCTTAAGGAAACGGCCCATTTCCCAGACTGCTCTATTTTCCTGTGGGACTGGTCTTGCTTAGGAACCTGTGATCCCCTGCAAAGTGGGCATCAGTTGTGAGGCACCTCTGGTGCAGGGGGAATGCAGGTGGCCTCCACCAGCCTCTCATGTTCTCGCCGGCTCCAGCATGGCCATCACTCAGAAGACACACTGGAGCTCCGTCCAAGTCCTCAGCTTCACAGGGGGCAATGCCAATGCTGCCACATGGCTCCCACCCAGCCCCTCTGGAGGCCACTCACCGGCCCTTCATCACATGGTAGCCCCTTTCTGCTTAGAGAAATATCCCCACTTTCTCTGATCTAAGAATATATTCTTGGGCTTACTTGAATGTGGCTGTGTTTAGAGCTTTTTTCCTACTTATATGTGCTGGAAGCAGAAAGAAGTGGTTACCGTATATGTCTGGTCTCCCTCCAAAAACCCTAGATCCAGATAATAATGCTCATATTATTTTGCTGCAGTATTTCAGATGTCCCCTCCACCCTGTTTTTAAATTTGGGTTCAGGGTGTACTCAGAAGACAGACAAGCTCAGAACACCAGCTATGTGTGGTATTGCAAAATAAATTTATTTGAAGATAAACTGTCTTATAAAAGGTCAGAGGCAATTTAAGATCCCAGATTCAGCTTTAGCTTGTCTCATAAAAAGATTCAACTTCA